CACTCTTGTGGGACACGGTTGCGGGACACTCTTGCGGGACACTCTTGTAGGACACTCTTGTGGGACACTCTTGTAGGACACTCTTGTGGGACACTCTTACGGGACACTCTTGTTGCACATTCTTGTAGGACACTCTTGTGGGTCACTCTTATGGGACACTCTTGTCGGACACTCTTGTGGGACAAACTTGTGGGACACTCGTGTGGGACACTCATACGGGACACTCTTGTGGGACACTCTTGTAGGACACTCTTGTGAGACATGCGGGACACTCTTGTGGGGCACTCGTACGACACTCTTGTGGGACACTCTTGTAGGAGACTCTTGTGGGACACTCTTGTGGGACACTCTTGTAGGAAACTCTTGTGGGATACTCTTGTAGGACACTCTTGTGGGACACTCTTGTAGGACCCTCTTGTGGGACACTCCTGTGGGGCACACTCTTCGTGCGAGACTTCCTCCAAAAGTCACGCTGCGAGGCTGCAAGACGAGCTTTTCGTACGAGACTTCCTCCAAAAGTCACGCGTCAAGTCTCAAAAACGAGCGTTTCGTACGAGACTTCCTCCAAAAGTCACACGTCAAGTCTCCAAAACGAGCGTTTCGTACGAGACTTCCTCCAAAAGTCACATGTCAAGTCCCCAAAACGAGCGTTTTGTACGAGACTTCCTCAAAAACTCACATGTCAAAGTCTGCAAAACGAACGTTTCGCGCGAGACTTCCTCCAAAAGTCCAGCGGAAACACCCATCGGAGCACACACATCACGCAGCCCAGTTTCGCGATTCCAGCCCCTCCAAACGACACCCGCTCACACGCCAATCCCAATGTGACAGCGACATTCACCTCTACCACAACTCACAACCTCCCGATTCCCTGCGCCTGCCACGAATCTTTCCGCGTCCACACGTCTAACGCGCACAAAGTACTGCGCGTGCCACGAAATGTCACCTCCGTCACACCTCGCAACCTCACGATTCCCTGCGCCTGCCACAAGAATCGCACTTCAACACCTCAAAAGCCGCACAAAGTACTGCGCCTGCCACGAAAAGTGACAATGTCGTTTCATGTGAGCTTCAACAAAATTTGCACCACACCACACGTTTGGAATGATTTCGACCCGTTCTGAGCACACTCCCATCCACCAAAATCGGCATTTCAGCTGAGACTTGTCACGAAAACAGAGCTTCGATGCCACACCCTGAAACGCAAATCCCAATTGCACGGCCACATCCAACACCCCAAAAACACGACTCTCCAAACGCTAATCCCAATGGAACTGCGTCGCAAGCTGCGGATCTCACGAAACGCTGCGCCTGTGCAGCGAAATGCATCACGCTTCTTGCGCCACATGTCCTTTTCACGCAAATCACAATGGACTCGCGTCGCAAACTCACACGTGACACATCCATGCATAGTCACTTGCAAAAGCTTCCCCCAATGGCAGCGCCTTAGCGCTCTACTGCGAAAGGTTGCGGACGTAGAAACAACGGATCGCGAACAAGGCTCTACCCCCAGACCCCCAAGAGTTAAACGAGAACCCTTCGCTACGCATTCGGGAATAAGAATCAAGTGTGTGTTTTTGGGATGAACCTATTTACTGAACTGTAATGAATTCTTACAATTCATCGTGGTGCATCTACACATGATGTAGCATGCAACTTCTAATACGAGTATTTGAGATTGATTTTGATCTTTCTTGTTTTTCTACATATTTTTACTTGCTGCTTGCAGCCTGATATTGACTTATGGACATAGCATGCCAACAGACGGCGCTCATTTCCGGCTTGCACAACGAGGCTCTGCAGGTCGCTGAAATACCACGACCTTCCACCTCCTCGCCCCCCGTTGCCCCTTCGAGGTACCTGCACATTGCGCTCATGAGTTTGATGCTTCCGTTGGCCTGGCTCATCCGGAAGGAGGGTGGTCGGATCCTCGCGAGCGTGAAAGATGTGGCCATGTTTCTCCCTTTATGGGTCGCCTGCCATGCAAAAGAGACGTCGAAACAGACGTGTTTTTGAGGTGGTTTGGTTTAATGAAGTCTTTTGAGCATCCTTCAAGCTTCTGAGGTCATCTCCAACTATTGCTTAGTGTCTCAGCTTCATTACTTGCATCGTGATTTGACTACAGCACATACAGAGTGGATCGCAGTTTGCTGCCGGCATTTTGGGCAGACGGGTGATAGGAGTAGCAGTATATACAAAGTTTTGCACGTGAGAAGCTGTTTGAGGTCTAGGATTCCCAATTGAGAATAGATTCCCCTTTCATTTTCGCAGATTTGTCCAGACCCCCCCTTCCCACCTAAACTAGACGACGAGTGGCCCGAAAGCATTTTTCATCACGTAGGAAGTCAGAGTGTGAGTTATCTGTTAAGTGTTCTGCGTGAAGTGTTAAGTCGAGTGAGTTGAGGTAGTGTGTGGGTCTCTGTGTGTGTATCTATGTCTGTGTGTGTGTATGAGTCTTTGTCCGTGTGTGTGTGTCCGAGTAAGTTGAGGCAGTGCGTGGGTCTCTGTGTGTGATGTGTGTGTAGCAGTCCCTGTCTGTGTGTGTGTCCATGTCTGCTGCTGGTGAAGGTCTTCACTGTAGATATAGTGAACGAAGTAGCGCGCAGGCCTCCCAAACCCCCCACCGGCGGCCAAGCGGTGACAGCCCAGCTCATCGTCGTGAGCATTTGAGCTGCTGGTAAGGGGAGAAGCAGCGTGCACGCCTCCAGGAAATCTCACTGAAAAAAACGAGCTGGAATGAACGCCGAAAATTGCTGAGGCAGGTACGCAACAAGTTTGTCGAAGCAGTGACCTGTCAGAGGAGATGCGTCCATCGATATACGATCAGAGGTAACGTTTCCTTCACTCCAGGACACAGCTTTTCTAGGATGTAGTTAACCAACCACTATGCTTGTCATTGACTAATTGACTGTCTCAAAAAAAACGTGACAAAGTAGCATGAGGTGACACACAGCAGGCACTGCAGATGTTTAGCGTACTCTCGCTGTTCAGCTCGCGACTAGTCTTATGGTGAACGAAGTAGCGCGCAGGCCTCCCAAACCCCCCACCGGCGGCCAAGCGGTGACAGCCCAGCTCATTTTCTCATCGACTGTCCCAAAAAATGAACGTGCCCAAGTAGCTTCAGGTGACACGCAGCAGCCACTGCCTATATCTTCGCATGCTCTATCTGCTCAGCTCGCGACTCGCCTGTGTATACGGAAAAGCTTCCCCAAAAATATGTCTAGCTACGTCCTTGTTGTCCTTCCGCCGAACGACGTCCGCCTTGAACGACTCGGTGTCACTCCATCCAGGTATAATGTGAGTTTTGTGTTCAGTGTGACGTGTTCAGTCTAGTGTGTCGAGTCCGTGTGTGGGTCTCTGTGTGTGTGCATGTCTATGTTGTTAAGTGTGACGTGTTCAGTCTAGTGTGTCGAGTCCGTGTGTGGACACGTCGCACTTGAAGGTTGCGCGCACACAGGACACGTCGCACTCTCGCCTACATTTCGCGCGCTCGACACGCACGATCTCCGCAGAGGGTTGTCCGCGTGAAGTTAACCAATCGCACTCTCGCCTGTGTTTCGCGCGCTCGACACGCACGATCTCCGCAGAGGGTTGCGCGGCTACCGGTCAAGTCGCACTCTCGCCTGCATTTCGCGCACTCGACATGCACGATCTCCGCAGAGGGTTGCGCGGGCACCGGACAAATCGCACTCTCGCCTGCATTTCGCGCACTCGACACGCACGATTTCGCGCACTCGACATGCACGATCTCCGCAGAGGGTTGCGCGGGCACCGGACAAATGGCACTCTCGCCTGCATTTCGCGCACTCGACACGCACGATTTCGCGCACTCGACACGCACGATCTCCGCAGAGGGTTGCGCGGGTACCGGTCAAGTCGCGCTCTCGCCTGCATTTCGCGCACTCGACACGCACGATCTCCGCAGAGGGTTGCATTTTCGGTTGACGCTGTTCGTCCCACCCTCCGCCTTTAAGAGAGAATTTATAAAGTGGGGAAATGTTTTTCATTAGGACATCTCCCGTGCACGTTTTCCATACTCACACTTGCGTACTCATCGCGTTCCCGTGCAAGTTTTCCATACTCGCACTTGCCTTTGGATGCCTTCACTCTTCCACTTACACTGGGACACGTATAGAAGTGTAAGTCTTCATTCTTCATGTTCATGTTCAAGTGTAAGTGTGGAAGCGTAAGTGTTCAAGTGTAAGTGTAGAAATGTCAGTGTTCAAGTGCAGGTGTGGAAGTGTCAGTGTGTAAGTGTCAGTGTTCAAGTGCAAGTGTGGAAGTGTCAGTGTGTAAGTGTAAGTGTCGAGGTGTCAGTGTTCAAGGGATTTTCCGGAAGAACCCTTCGCAGTGCTTTCGGGAAAAAAAGATACGGGACCAGCCGTTATCCGCGAGTTTGAGGTCCAGGCCCTTGCTTTAGCACCTGCTGGTCTGGTTCAATGCCTCTTTGGCACCAGTCCTGCGCAGGCGCGGTTTTCAGAAGCTTCAGCCAGAAGCTTCAACTGGAGAACCAGTTCCATTTGTTTTTTGAGTGAGTCTGTAGTCGGGGGGCCGGTTGAAGGATGTTTTCTTGGATTTCCGGGATGGGTGAATGCTTATTTAATGATGTTTTGGTCATCTGACTTGAATAGGTGTTGGGATTTATTGTGGTTTTAATCCCGTGTAAATCTGTTTGGTCTTGCTTGCGTGGATTCTGTCAAGTAGGTTGGGACTCTTTCGCAGATCCAAGCTTCCATAGATGCTTTGGCTTTGGCGCATGCAAGACGTCCCTTTTCTAGAGTTTTGGGATGTTTGTTTAATATATATATATATATATATATGAGTGTGTGTGTTTCTATTTCTTTCATAGGTGCTACTTGCATGGGAAGACTTCCCACTTCGACCCATTTCGACTCTGGTTTGATTGGCCTCGCAGGAGTTGATTTCAGAACAAACCATAGTTTGGGAGTCACCTTGAAAACATACTGGGCAAACAAAAACAGAAATACACCACATCCGATGGCCAAAAAATGCGTCAGCAGATGTCAGCAGTCGCGGAAGTGTTGTCTCGGAAAGCTCACATGATTCAAGGTCCAAGACTTTGTAGGATCAAACTATTGAATTAACATATCGGGCTGAGCTGCTCACCACAATTGGTAAATGGAAAATGCAGCGGCCACTTTTGATCAAATTGCATCATGTTCGCCTCGGCTAGGTTGGCACAGAATTTTCCAAGCCTCCACTAGGGTGTTGAGCCTAATAGTTAATAGAATAGAGTCTTCCCGCAACCTTTCTTGTTTTGAGGTGATTAGCCCAATCATAATGAAACATGATTCTTGGCCTCCAGTCTCGCCCCCCAACCTAGCTGGGGCAGGTAACTTTTCAAGGTTCAATCGATGCAGCTTCCAGGTGTGCTTGCTGAGCCGAATCTTTCTGCATGAGCCTTTCACCTTCTGGCGGCTCCTTGCCATTGCCTTTGCCTTCGGAGGTGTTGCGCCGAGTCGAGGTCAATGCGTACGGTAAGCGGTATGTTGGTGCGAAGAACGCTAGACAAAGGAGACGTTTATAGAACCTTTCAGTGAACCTTGTACATTGTAGAGTAACCATGTGCAACCCACGAAGTTGGCTAATGCCGACATGATTATATAACTATATATGATTATATATTTATAATCGCCAAGGCTGGCAGCCTTTACTACCTTTACAGCCACCTATCACTTTAGAAGCTTCAAGGCTTTGGCGCGATAGGACGGTTGTTTTTTTCCAACCACTGACTGTAACACAGGTGACATGTTGCCTGTATAATCCTGTATATACTTGGCAAATTGGACACATCGTTTGGTCTAACTTTGCATCAGCCCGTCTCTCAAGACTTTGCGCAGGTGTGCTAGCCTTGGCTGCACATAGCCACTTCCAAGGCTCCTTGGCGCAGGGTTTCTTGGGTTGGAAGCGAGATGTGCCAGCTTGTGGAGCATGTAGGCAGAGAACGGCTGCTGTAGAGGTGTTGAACGGGCATGATGCGTTTGTCAAATTTTGTCAATAATATAGAACATAGACTTTAAGGAACCTAATAGGGATGGCCTCCATCCTAGTAGCGCTGGCCTCCAACCTAAGAGCGATGGCCTAACTTGTCTCATCATTTTGATCATGCACAATGAGTCATGTCTCCACCTGCCTACATTTCCAGGAGAGGAAAATTGGAGTTTCGGTCCATACCTGCTATGACTCCACAGCGTCTTTTTGTCGCCTCGTTGGGTGTTGCCTCTAGGCGACTCCGCGATGGATGTCCTTCTTGGGACACTTTGTGGTCTTTCAGCCGTAGTCGCAGCAGTGGCCAGACTGACAGAGGAAGAATAGAGAGCGAGTGGTTTTTTCTGCTAGGACAACCAGCTGGTGATGAAGAATGACCTGCCTTTTTCACACGATTCTTACTCAGGTAATTACTGACAGAAAGGACATGATAAGATCCCATAAGATTCCATGTTTCCTGCTGTTGGTGTTTTGGAGAATGTGCACCGTGAAATCCTACTGCTTGGGCATGTCCCCATCCACCCAAAAAACGACGTGTACTGCGGGTGTGTTACGATAGAAACGCAGCCTCCCGGCGACAGTCAACAAAATGCTGCGTTGAGGGAATTTCCTTTTAGCCCTTTGGACAGCATCACCATCAGGGGTGATCAAAAGCACTAAATGTTTTGGCAATCTCTTTTGTGCTCCCTTGCCTCCTGCAAGACCAGTTCAGAGTTCTCCATGAGGCTTGCTACAAGGTGGCCTTCAAAGTACGACTTGGGACACCTCCGGTGTATGTGGTCCTGGGAGTAGTTGCTGACCTGCAATTTGTTTGGCTTCGCTGATGCGGTGGCAACTGCAAGACCATGAAAGACCGGTCATGAACGTGCACAATCACGGAGAGATGGAAGAGGAGAATGTCCACATCCGTCCATGTTCATTCATTTTCGGTGTCTATGTCAATGGAATCCATTTTATGTTGTTGTGGTTTGTTGTGAGTGGGCTAGTCCATCAACCCCAAGGTTGGAACGTTGGGCTTTGTCGCAGCTCGGACAGAACCCGGGCGAGCCAATTTGCTGGTTGGAGAAAGTGGTGCTGAAGATCCGGGTCTTAGCAGATTAGCCGGGTTGCAACTTTCAGGACGCCATGTGATTCCATGTCACGAAGAGCATGTGCCACATGGTGCAACAGTGCAACATGTTTGATAACTCGGTCAGCCTGTGTCTTCTGTTGGGCTATGTCTTATCCCTAGCTTTGGGAAGCATGAAAGCAAGGAGCGGGGAGACAAGCGGGAGGCTTTTGTGCGGGAAGTTGGAGGAAAATAGCACCTGCCGTTGCAAGGATGCTGCAACGATGAAACACCGGATGTACCTATGCACACGGTGTCGGGGGAAAGCGTATATATATATATACATAATCTCAGCAATTGCATCCGTACAGCAGATGATGGACAAAGGAATGAAAGTCATAGAAACACGCTGTCTGTGTGTGTGTGAGTCATGTGTTGAAGAAGAACTGGTTATCTCAAGAAGAACTGCCTGGGCTGTTTTCTTCATAGATCAGCTTTGCAACATCTTGGTTTGCAACACTGTCATATACACTGGTTCGCTCTAACTCACTCTGAGTTATTCTAGCTCACTCTAACCCACTCTAACTCATTCTAACTCTTATCTAACTCACTCTAACTCACTCTAACTCTTCTCTAACTCACTCTAACTCACTCTAACTCACTCTAACTCTACTCTAACTCACTCTAACTCTACTCTATTGTTTAAGAGTTGGACACCTTCAAAACCATGGTTTTGTGTATGCTTTTTGACTGCCACTGTGCGAGTTTGAGTGGCTGAGATGGCTCAAAATGTGACTGAAAGAAACTGGCATGCTGAATCGAGCGTGCCAGTGGGCGTGAACAAACACGTTCGGATATGGCCGGTGCAGGATGCTTTTGCAGACTCTTGGCAAAGCCAATGGTCAACATTAGATGTCTGGCTGGGCCTCAGAGGTGATATCATACCACACCAGCATAGGAAAGAAGCAGATGTCTTGAACCATCGCATCTTGAATCCACTAGAACTTTTTACGTTTCACTGTAATAGTTTTGAGGATTCTGGAAAACACTGCAGGTTTTTGAAGGATTTTGCATTCCTTTGCTCCAGGAAACACTTTGAATCAACGCATGGAATCCATTTTGGAATTTCATCGTCAAATATGGCCTGGCTGTCAACCAGTGATTCTTACTTCAACAAAATCCAATTGGGGAGAGCCTTGACTTTCACAGAAACATTTTGACATTTATTGGTTTTGGTGGGATCATCGCAACGGCAATTTGTATCGGGGGACGGGCTCATAAAGTCGAGTCGAGTGTGGCTTGTGTCATGTCCTCTGTTTCAGGCTACACCGGCCGTTTTCATGGAGAAGACTTGGCCAACTTCGGTGGTCGCAGCAGCTCTGGCGTGGTCAATGACAAATGCTCGAGCAACGCAACAGGTGAAGGAGAATACATTTCTTTTCTTAGAAGGCATGGTGAAGCTGGCTGTAAAGACAAAAAGGTTTGAGGTAACAGTCTGGCCAGAAATTGTAGCTGGAATCTTGTCATATGTGAAGTTAATCTTTTACAAATGACAAACAGTAGTTTCTCCTAACAGGCAGTCGTTGTTTTTTATGCGTGATTGACTGACAGTCGTCGAAATTAATAAGTGGGTCAGCTATGTTACTGAAAGGTTTCATCGTTGACGCATTGAGGAATGCCTGACCAAATGAGCTTTACCCTGGACACCAACGCGGTTTTTCCCTTGCAATGGCTGATGAGAGCTGGAGAACAACAACAGTTCCTCCGTGCTTGGGAATCAGACTTGAGAGAATCTCGTTGGATAAGATGTCAGTCTCAGAAGTAACTAGCAAATCAATGAGGTGCAACACAATCAGTCATTAGTTGTCTGTTTTTAGTAGACTGTACACTGCACTGGACTCATTATTTAAAGTGCTGGTTTGATGAGCTGAAATCTTTCAATGATTATATTTTATTCACCGCTAGCCTGGCTGACTGACTGACTGTCAGGACCACAACAAACCATGGGTGTGTGGTGGGCCAGAAAGGTCGTCTCTGGCTTCAGTTCTGATGTTTGCATTGGACCCGCGACTTGGTCATTTCTGACTAACTAAGTTGTTGTCATTCATGAATGACTGAGACTCAGAACCCGCTACTGTATTGATCGAAGCCACGCTCCTTTTTTTAGCCAGTGTCTGTCACATCAGTCGGTCACGTGACCTGACGACGTTGTATTGTTGTCATCGGTCCGAGTATTATAAAGAAAACATTGGGAAGTAGAGCCATGTGATCAAACCTCTTCTCTGACTCTGTCTTTTGAGGTCACGATGCCGAAAGTCTGGACCCTGGAAGCCTCTCCGGGAAAAGGGGCTCAACTTGGTGTCACAGATTGCAAAGTTTGTGGAGGCTTAGTCAGCACAGGGGCGGGCAGGTAGGCAAAACAACTATATAGAATTAGATTCATAGTTCATTTCCAGGATTCCAGTAAGAACGCATGATTCCTTCACTGGACATGTCTGTCATGACTGATTCATGTCATGTCAGAGTCCGTGAAAAAAACAAACAATAGCACTTCAAATCTGGCTGGTATCTGAGCATCTGAGGACCGCAATGCAGCATTCTTGGTCGACAACTCCACCATGCGTCAGAGGAAGAAAAAACATCCATTGACACTTCATCAAAGATATGGAATCATTGATGATGTCCGTTCTCACAGGTAGGGAGTTACTCGAGTCAGTCGACACTGTTGAGCTACACAATAAACATCATCATTGGATCAATTGGACGTGAGTAGACCCTTGACTGGGAACCGGATCAATTCAAAAAGCATTTCAAAAAAACAAACAAGAAGTTGAACCACTATCATCCACTATCACTGCATTGAGGCTTCTAGCTTTTTGACATGATCATGGCACATGAGAAACAACACTACTGCATCAATGACAGACTGGCTTGTCGTCGCTCGACTCGACAATGTGACAAGGTTCTTTACATTGCCTAAAGCATTGGCCGCTTCAAATCTGAAGTGTCAGACTTCTCCAAGTTACTTTGCGATGTGGGACATGGCAGCTCGTCTAATTTTAGACTAAAATTTGATAATACATAACATATCTTACATGTCGAGTCATCATTGATCACGACTCGAGTCAGTCTGTCAGTCAGAAAGTTCCAAGAATTGCATTGAATGGCATCTCATGGAATCAGGTGGCATACTTGAAGAAGTGCTTGAAGACATTCCAGGATTGCCCACACCTGTTGGTCGCTTGGCTTGGGGTCCACTGAAATGAAGACCTGCTGGGTTTCGTCGACTCGATTGGACCAATGATTCATGTTACCAGTTAACCAATTGCATTTATTATGTATTGTTCTTGGGCTGACGGCTGACCGAGGTGAACTTTGATGGATCTGTTCTGCGAAAACGGCAAGTGGAGTTGTACAAACTCACCAGTGTCTTGACTTGAAATTACAGTACAGGAAATTGGATCAGATCCATAATATAATATATATCAATCTGATCAGGGACTCCCAAAAAATTGACATACAATGAATGGGACCCGCCAACACAGCACTGACTGCCCAGGCCCTGCCTTGAACATCTCTGCGTATGCACCGCCACTGGCAACTTACCTGATTGATTCGATTCCGGGCTCGTGGACTCTGGACTCCTATAGACCTGGAACGGACCTGGACACTCAGTGAGCCATTGTCGGTCCTTGTTGTTGTGGTCACAGTCATCATTTGTCAAATCGTCACCATTATCATCGTCATTGCCATTGTCATTTTATACAGACGTGCTGAGAAGGATTGGCATTGAGGATTGAATCCAACGCATGAACCGGGGCTGTTGTCATTTTTCTTATGGTTCAAAACATGACGACTGGCAGAGTGAGCAGGCCTGCCAGGGGCCAGGGGCAGATTTCTCAATTCAATGGTATTTGTTCACATTTAAGTTTAAAGGATTTTTAGGACCAGACTGGGACACATACAGACTGGACTGAATGAATGTCTCTATATCTGTAGTTTACTGCAGCCATGTCACATGGCGACGTCGACGACTACTATTCGATTGAATCACATCATCTGAGTGATTCAAAAATGTCACTAGATGATCCTGCCGTGGCGATGAGCACAACAAGCAGCGGTGGAAGCGACCTGCCATTATCGCAAGCATCAGCGTTGGGCCAGGACAAACAATTTAACTAACTGACTGACTGGACTGACTAACCAGACTCTTATCAAAAAAACATCAATGGCTGAAAAGTCGACACAGTTTGGTCATCATTTTGAATGATAGAATAGACAAGTGTCTTTTCATTATTTTTTATGAATCAGGCAGTCCGCCGTCTGAATAAAATGCTGTGAATTTGACAAGTGTTGGTCAGGACCATGATTGGAGTCCACTCTTGGATGCGTTTCAATCAATCCGATTTGCGTGGGACTGTGTTTCAGAGCAATTGTCAATGGACGAGCTTCAAGTGGCTCAGCTACTGTTCATGGTTGTTTAACTGATTAGACGCAAACTTGTTTTTTTAAATAATCTATTGTCTATTGAATCAATCAGGCTTGTTACATTTGGCCTCTGAGGCATCTTGGCTCCGGCATGCTGAGTCAGCGACCTCGTTTTGCTCTGGCATTGGGACTGCAGAGATGGGTCGGGCAATCCTGGAGAGGGATATCAATCAGAGCAAGCGCTTGCCTTTCAGGGTTGACATTCCAAGTGTCGCAGTTCGGGTGACTTGCAATGATTATTTTTGCATATTTGCTGTTGAATCTGTCTGACTGTTCTGATTGTCATTTTCATAATGTTATATAATATACAATTATATTGCCTGAAATCTGAAATTCAAGTCAGATCAAGGAAAGGGACTCGACTTGCCAGTCTTTGCTTCAAGAAACATTGGCCTGGTGTGACACAGTGTGTGGCAGGGCAGAGCCTTCAGCTCGTCACACATGCATGTTCAATGACATTTGTCATATGATGCCGCACGGGTCTTA